CGTAATTTTTTGACCACCGTGTTCATTGTCTTTTTCTAGTACAGGTTGGCTGAAGAAGAATCTCAGTCGCAAAGGAGAACCGACGGAGTCACCGCACCCGGAGACCCCCTCCCCCTGCCGGTAGATTTCGATTTGTTGTCTTTTCTGGCCAACCGAGACTTCCTAACCCAATTTTTTGTAGGTTTACGTGTAGAACTAGTCAAACACTAGTGTATGTTGACCCCCTAAAATATTTATTTACTATTTTTACTTATTTATTTCTTTTTTTTTTTTATGAACTCCTCTAAAAGAGATATTTTCTAATCCTATTGAAAACTTTAATTTACAATGTAAAAAATATAAATTCTAACATTATTATTTACTTATGCATTTAAAGTATAAATTTATTTTTTTTTTAAGTTTTGAACCTTTATAATATAGATATATATATATATATATGTATGAAGTTCTCCCAAATTTTTGTACTAATGGAATTTTTAAAAATAAAAATTTATAAATTTTATTAATTAAATTACACATTACATTTCAATTATCAAATAATTTTATAACAAAAATACATAAAATACACCGTCAAACTTAAACCTATAATTTATATTAAATCTAAAATCTCTGTTAAACTTAAACCTATAATTTATATTAAATCTAAAATCTCTTATAAATGAACAAAAATACTAATAATTCTATTAAAATATTTAAAATTACATAAAAATTACATTCTTAGACTTTTTTCCATAGCAATATAAATTTAATAAATAAGAATGATCTGAATGACATATCATATAAAACCATAATATATATTTCCTTTACAAGGTAACAGAGAATACTGAGAAGAAAACGAAGAACAACCATCCCCACCATTGATCCGAGTTGTAAATAACGAAAAATTATGGAATTAGGTATTAACAGAAAAAAAAAAAATTAAAACACAGAAATTGGTAATTAAAAACTTGGTCAACCGTTGACTTCGTTGTCAAAGGGCGACAACATGGACGGCTTACATAGCACGTGACAACACGTGCGGATATAGTGCGGTAATTTGTGTTGGATAATTACCAGAAGAAAAGATTACGTTGACCAGATCGTGCACTCACGTGGTCAAGTAAGCACTCCCGTCATGCTGATTATTTGGTGTCTGTTGACCAGTCAAGCAATTTTCATCCATGGGTTTCCTTTACAACATGGAAAGAAAAAAAAAAAAAAAAAACAAGCCATTTTAACTCTTTATATATTCTCTCGTGTATTAAAAGAAAATTCGTACATTAAATCTTTTTATGAAAGGAAATTATGTTTTTCGTAAGTGCAATGCAATGCTTTATAGCCTGAATGGAATATTATGCAAGATTATATCGACTATGCCTGTGAAGTTCAAAGTAGAATATGGAAATTCTATGCTCCAAAGTCATTATTTTATTTTATATGAGTTATATAGTTCGAGATTATTTAGTTCATGTTAGCTCAGAAATAATATATGATAATTTTTAAATCGTTTAAATTTTTTATGTATTTATTATACATATTTTTTATCTTTAATTATAAGATTAAAAATAAATTTATTTTTTTATTTTTTTATTAAAATAATTTATGAACGTCTCTAGTATTTAATGAGTATAAATATAAATATGAAAAGTAGAAAAAGAAATTTAAATAGATAAATAAAAGTAAACACGGAAAATTACCTAATGTTTTATGTAAACATTTTATGAACTTAATTACTTATTTTCCTATTCTTTAACATCCATGTAAAATGATAATTTACAGATATTTTTAAAACTCTATGATATTAGTGATTAATTGTGATAACGGGAGAAGAAGATTAATTATTTTGCAACTTGCATGAAAGTTCTTCCTATTGATTACCATTTAATAACACCACCCTATCTTAGAAAATAAATAGATAGCTCGACTATTCTCAAATTTCTCTTTTGTTATTATTTTTGTTTGTAGCTTTTTTCTCTCTCTCTCTCTCTCTCAGTTCTTTTTTTTTTTTTTACTTCTTTTCTAAAGAATTTTTATTTATTGAATAAAAAATGTATACTTTAATATATATATATGTAGATGTTTATAACCTTTTTTTCCTTGCAAGATAGGTCAGACCAAAAAAAAAAAAAGAGAGATGATGCACAAATAAAGCCCCTAGAAAATACAAGGGCGGTCAGAAACAACAAGAAGGCTCGCAGTAGCATAAAAGCAAACAAACATACAAAGGGAAAAGCAAAGCAGAAAGAAAACAAAAACCAGCCAAGTACAGTGACCCAGCATAGAACCTGTCGAACCAAAACCAAGTCGAAGAATAGCGGGAAAGCCAGGCAGACAACCAAAGCAGAGGCTACACAACAAAAACCCATGCTCACCGCTACCCTAGCAAGAGTGTCGCCCATCGAATTCCTCTCCCTGTTACCGTGCACAAAACTGACAGAATTAAGTTGTTCAATCCCATTCTCCATTTCATTACATAACGAGAGTAATCTCCAAAGGGCCTTATTTCTAGCCTAACACACAGCAAGGGTATAATCACTTCAATGACAAGATTCACGAAACATGCATTTGACATAGAAGTCAAAATCACAATAGCTTCTCGAAGGTTAGAAACTTAGCGGTAATGGAGTTAAGGATACCAATATTCTTCGAGAACAAGCATTTAATCCACGCTTTCTTATCCCTAAGGCACCTCCTGATGCCAGCTGAACTCGGCTTTTCCCACACAGAAGCATCAACGTTTCCACCACTAAAGGCATCTTTTGTAATGAAAATGCGGTCAATAGTTTCAGGATTCTCAACGCAGAAAGGACAGAAAATTTTGCACCTCAAGTTTGCGCTGACAATGGTGGAGGTAATCAATATCAGTTAACCGGTCCTTAATCAATTGCCATGTAAAAGTCTAGACCTTCGAAGGGAAGGGATTTTCGCTTCCACGCCATAAAAAAGAACCAAAACTTATATAACAACTGTGTAACTTCTACTTGCATAATTTCGTTAGAGATATAGTAGGAGGATTGGTTTGTTGTATCATGGGTAGATTAAGACAATGACATAATATGCATATTAATCCTTATCACCTTTTTTCAAGTCTTGGTTTGTATTTGTATTTGAGTAACTTTTAAGGTAATTTCCCCAACAAAAAAGTTTTTACTGTCAAACAACATAAACTTTTGTCCCTTTTTCTATTATAAGTAATTATTTATAATAAACAAAGACTTGTTTCTAATACTTTATTTTTATTATAAAATTAAAAAATGAAAACTTTAATTTTTGTATTAAAATTTATTTTTAAGTAAATAAACGCAAAAATTAAAAAACATTACGGTGATTAAGTGGTTAAAATTTGATTTCTAATTTGTTGGTCCTCTAAATGAACCCGATAGTTACAAAATTTTGAAGCAACTAGAACATGAACTATTATTGGCTATAAAAATTCTAGAATTATTAGTAATGTGAATGTGAAGAATCTGAACTAATACTAGTATGGCTTTTTCGTTGGTGTCAAATGTTGTAAACTTTTTGCTAGTTATGGTAGTACAATAATTAATATAATTAAAGTACTTATTCATGACTAAATATTCCAAAACTATATGCATAGCATGATAAAATACTTTTTTTCCCAAATTTTAAGCAACCAACTCCCTATAATATAGTTTTTTTTTTTATCAATATAATCATATGAAGACTTTGATCAAATAATATTTAATTATCATTAGAGTTAATATTAGGTGGTGAGGATTGTCCAGTTTAAATGAGAAGAAAAAAATTAAAACCCTAAAAAATCAATTTGATTGAAAAGCCAAGTATATATATATATATATTAATTTTTTACACGTAGTAACCATTTAATTAAAAATATTTTAGGTATTTTAATCAAAGAAATATTATATATTTGTATTATACATGAAAAATAAAACTTTAAAAATTTTTTGTTGAAATTAAAATCTATTTAACTGTTCAGTCTGCATAGTTTAAATTTTATTTTATCATAAATAATCAAGGTTCAATTTATTTGATTTTAAAAAATTATAAACTAGACCAATGCAAAAAAAAAAAAAAAAAAAAAAAAAAGAAAAAGAAATCAAATGGCCGGTAGTTAACATCACAAGTAATCTTTTTATGGTTCAACTTTTTGTCAAATCTAAGTTGAGAGCTATAATAACTACACTAGTATTCTAAAGAAAAATGTGAATATTAGAAAGTAGAAGATTTTTTACTCCTCAACGAAATATTTTTAAAAGTGAGGAGACATAAAGTATTTAAGTGATTGCCTTCTACATAAAGTATGTAGTTATATCTCTCAAATCATGCTAGGATTATAATAGGAAACTATATACCAATACCTCATAAATAATATCCATAAAAATATTGACCATTGAAAAATCTAATTGTTTGAATTTGGTTGGGCAAGTCACCTTTATAAAGTCCCAACTCTCATTCTTCCTATTTATAGTATGTAGAATGCCAGGATTTCGAGTCCTATTTGTGAGAAACTCTATGAGATTCATTTAGAATGTAATTACGATGGGGATCAACTGCACCTTATAGTTGGAACAAGATGTGTGTGTTTAAAAAAAATAGAAGATTGGAGATTCAGATGCTCTTCATACTAATATTTCCATGCTTATAACACTTGAATGGAATTTGTTTAATAAAATTCCGTCAATGCCTTATAAAGCAAATATGTTAAAGACAAGAATTTTCTTCAGGCAAATGCTCCCTCAATCCCTCCCTAGTAAGTTCTCTCTTTGGAAAACTATCTTTAAAAGTTATAATTAGATCCTACAGTATATACGTTCGCATATTGGTGAATGGGTCCGTGATCTCCTCCTTGTGGTATGAGAAATGGATACAAATTATTTGCTTACATATAGGAATGGTTATTCACATGAATATAGCGATCTTTGTGCCAATACTGTTATTGGTAACAGTTCTGAAATCTATAAATACATTATTAAA